GGTCGATCATGTTTGGAATTGCCCATGTGGCCGAGCGTTGTGGCAAGAGCTCTGCCCAGCTATTGGACCACGCGTTCCCCAAACCATTGTGGAAACCCTGCGGGGAACATTTGGATGAGGATGGCGGGGGAGATCAGGAGGAGGAGGAAAGGGAGATGGCACCTTGGGAGCCTCTGGGGACACTCTTGGGTATTCCTGGGAGTTTCCTGGGAGCCTTTTAGAGGCATCTTGGGAGCCTCCTTGGGCTTTTTGGGGTGCCTTTGGGGGCTTCTCAGGGGCCCATTTGGCAATCTTACGACATTCCTGGCCTGTTTGACGCAGTCGGCAGTAGTCTTTGGGACCTCTCTGGGCCGACTTGGGGCCCTCTTGGGGTGCTTCAGGAGCGTCTTGCAGGCTATCGCTGGCGCCTTGGAGGCCCCTGGGGCCGTCTTGGGGCCCTTTTGGGGCCCTCTTGGGGGCCTCTTGGGCCGTTCTGGGGCCATCTTGGAGGCCTCTTGGGCGATCTCGGGGCGATCATTGGGTGCTTTCGGGCAGTCTCGGGCCGTCGGGCCGTCCGAAAAGAAGCAAATGCCGAAATCCTGCAACCATCGAAGGAAAAAACAATTTCTCCGACGGAAAAACCCCACATAAGAATCCTCTGGGCGAATCTGGAAAAGAAACATCACCGTCGTCCTCGTGGTTGGTGAGGCGTCGTGGCTGTCTCTTCTGCGTATATTTCCTGTCGCCTTGGCGCGGGCCCCCCTTCCACTCCTTACGTTGTCCCCATCCTCGCCCCCCTGTTTGTTCCGCGCCCCGCCACCTCCTCCCCTTCCTGTTGCATGAGCGCGCATGTCGATGTTCCTCGGCGCCGTCGCCGCCACGGCCAGCACAGGCGCGTTCTCTACTGGTCACGTCGCGCAGCCGTTGGGACAACCCCGCGGGCCAGGCTGTCGGGACAACCCCGCGAGCCGTTGGCGCGCAAGACCAAGCCGTTGGGACAACCCCGCGGGCTTCGAGCGAGGCGCAGCCGCGCTCAGGCGGAAGGCAGCACGAAGCCCAGCTCTGCCGCGAGCTGCTTCGCCTCCGCCCTGGACAAAACCGCCTGAGACTTCCTCCATATTCAGGCTTGAGGAACCCAAAAGTGACGACAGTTACAGGGTTCCGATGACCCGCTCGGATTACCAACATGATCTGCGGGCCCCATAGGGAGGGAGCTCCCGCCTGAGACTTCCTCACAATTCACTCAGGACGAGGCTCCCGCCTGAGACTTCCTCCGAATTCAGGCTTGACGAGCCCAAAAGTGACGACAGTTACAAGGTTCCGATGACCCGCTCGGATTACCAACATGATTTGCGGGCCCCATAGGGAGGGGGCTCCCGCCTGAGCCTTCCTCAGAATTCACTCACAGACGAGGTTCCCGCCTGAGACTTCCTCCAAATTCAGGCTTGAGGAGCCCAAAAGTGACGACAGTTACAGGATTCCGATGACCCGCTCGGATTACCAACATGATCTGCGGGCCCCATAGGGAGGGAGCTCCCGCCTGAGACTTCCTCCCAAATTCACTCACAGACGAGGCTCCCGCCTGAGACTTCCTCCATTTTCAGCCTGGGGAGCTCAAAAGTGACGACAGTTACAGGATTCCGATGACCCGCTCGGATTACCAACATGATCTGCGGGCCCCATAGGGAGGGGGCTCCCGCCTGAGACTTCCTCACAATTCACTCACAGACGAGGCTCCCGCCTGAGACTTCCTCCAAATTCAGGCTTGAGGAGCCCAAAAGTGACGACAGTTACAGGGTTCCGATGACCCGCTCGGATTACCAACATGATCTGCGGGCCCCATAGGGAGGGAGCTCCCGCCTGAGACTTCCTCCCAATTCACTCACAGACGAGGCTCCCGCCTGAGACTTCCTCCATTTTCAGGCCTGGGGAGCTCAAAAGTGACGACAGTTACAGGATTCCGATGACCCGCTCGGATTACCAACATGATCTGCGGGCCCCATAGGGAGGGGGCTCCCGCCTGAGACTTCCTCACAATTTACTCAACGATGATGAGGATGAGGATGATGAGTGGTGGTGAAGATGAGTGGTGAAGAGGATGATGATTGATTGTGAGTGGTGGTGGCGATGATGATATTTGAATGAGGATGATGCCGATGCCGATGATGATGATGATGATGATGATGATGATGATGATGTTCATGAGCGTGTGAGAGAGTGCGAGTGATGATGATGATGATGATGATGAGTATGTGAGTGACTAAGCATGTGAGAGAGCATCATCGATGATGCTGGTGAGGTTGATGGTGTGAGTGTGTGTGAGTGGGTGTGTGTGTGTGTGTGTGTGTTCCTGTTCCTGCGCGGGGTGTCCAGAGAAAACAAGAACCCCAGTTTGGATGTGGGGAATTACAGGATTCCGATGACCCGCTCGGATTACCAACATGACCCGCGGGCCCCATAGCGAGGGGCTCCCGCCTGAGACTTCCTCAAAATTTACTCAGAGACGAGGCTCCCGCCTGAACCTTCCTCCATATTCAGGCTTGACGAGCCCAAAAGTGACGACAGTTGCAGGTTTCCGATGACCCGCTCGGATTACCAACATGATCTGCGGGCCCCATCTGGAGGGGGTTCCCGCCTGAGCCTTCTTCAGAATTCACTCACAGACGAGGCTCCCGCCTGAGACCTCCTCCAAATTCAGGCTTGAGGAGCCAAAGATTGACGACAGTTACAGGTTTCCGATGACCCGCTCGGATTACCAACATGATCTGCGGGCCCCATAGGGAGGGAGCTCCCGCCTGAGCCTTCCTCAGAATTCACTCACAGACGAGGTTCCCGCCTGAGACTTCCTCCATTTTCAAGCCTGGGGAGCCCAAAAGTGACGACAGTTACAGGTTTCCGATGACCCGCTCGGATTACCAACGTGATCTGCGGGCCCCATAGGGAGGGGGTTCCCGCCTGAGACTTCCTCACAATTTATTCAACGATGATGAGGATGAGGATGATGAGTGGTGGTGAAGATGAGTGGTGAAGAGGATGATGATTGATTTTGACTGGTGGTGGCGATGATGATGTTTGAATGAGGACGATGCCGATGATGATGATGATGATGATGATGATGATGATGATGATGATGATGATGTTCGTGAGCGTGTGAGAGAGTGCGAGTGATGATGATGATGAGTATGTGAGCGACTAAGCATGTGAGAGAGCATCATCGATGATGCTGATGAGGTTGATGATGAGAGAGTGCGAGTGAGTGTGAGTGGGTGTGTGTGTGTGTGTGTTCCTGTTCCTGCGCGGGGTGTCCAGAGAAAACAAGAACCCCACTTTGGATGTGGGGAATGATAGTGGCCTCGTCGGGCCTTCCTGGGGGCCCTTTTGGGGGCCCCCTGGGCCGTCTTGCGACCTCTTTGGGCCTCTCGGGCCGTCTTGGGCCATTTTGGAGCCATCTTGGGTCGTCTTGGTGGGCTCCTGGCCCGTCTGACGCCGTCGGAAAACGTCTTGGGCGCCTCTCTGGGCTGACTTGGGGCCCCCTTGGGGTGCTCCAGGGGCGTCTTGGAGGCTATCGCTGGCGTCTTGGAGGCCCCTGGAGCCGTCTTGGGGCCCTCTTGGGGCTGCCTTGGGGACCTCTTGGGCCGTTCTGGGGCAATCTTGGAGGCCTCTTCGGCGATCTTGGGGCGATCATTGGGTGCTCTCGGGCTGGCTCGGGCCGTCCGAAAAGAAGCACATGCCAAAACCTTGCACAACCACATAAAGAAAAAAGGAAGAGCGTGTTCTACCCCCCCCCCACCCCCCACTCTTCGCCGCCGGCAAACGATGCCCGCTCCTCGGGAGAGAACGACAACGGTGGGGGCATTGAGACAGTGGTGGGAAACATGTCTTTCCACGAGCGGGGCGCGGCTAGAGAGGAGTTCTATTCAAAGGAAGCAGGCACGCCACCGCCGCGCAGGCGCGGCAGCGGATTGCAGGATGATGCCGACAAGATGGCCCATTCGATGAAAGATGGCCCCAGAGATTCAGCTCCCTCGGCCGCGGGGCAGTTGGCCCTGGCTAAGTCGCTCGTGGATGCCAAGCAAGCTGCGTCTACTGGAGGCGGCGAGGGGGCGTTCAGTGAGCTGGGCAGGACAGCGATCAGGAGAATAAGGGCGATGAGAGTGAGAACGGTGAGGACGACTCGGGGACCAAGGCCGCTGGCGCCAAGCGGAAGAAGGGCAAGGTTGCGGAAGGCGCCAGCCAGCCCAAGAAGCACAAGGGCTCTTTGGACAAGAAGACGAAGCCTTGGTTCGACAGAGACACGTTGATTACATCGGCTTTGCGGACACACGACACTTGGCAGAATAATGCGCGGCTAGATTTCGATGCGGGCATTGGGGCGGCGTCCCGCGTGATCAAGTGCGTCACCGATGACATCGATAACGCGGTGAAGAACGAGCTGAAGTTGCGCAAGAACCGCCTCTACGCGTTGAAGCTCGTCCTCGGCACCGGCGCTGACGCTGGAGGTGGGCTCGATCCCGCGGACCAGCGCAAGGCCCAATTCGACGGGGCCGAGGCCCCGGCAACGCCGGCTGCGGCTGCCCAACCAACGGCTTCCGAGTCCCAGGCCGGGGACGAGGAGTTGGCGGCGGACGCCCCTGCCCCGCTGCCGCTGCGGAAGTAGAGAACGCCAGCGCGGGCAAACCACAGCAACCCATTGTAAAACGGCGGGCCAAGAAGGCGCTTGGGAAGGAGCCTAAAGGCCCCGACGCCGAGACACCCCGGAAGGGGACGACGGTTGAGAAGGTCGATGGCGATCTTTTTCGAATCGAGGTCCACCGCGGCAAATTTCCACCACGAGACAGGCAGTGATGCCGCCAAGGCGCTGAAGAGATGCATCGCAGGCTTCTCCTCGACGTCGGACGAGCCAGAGCACGGCTCCGCTCCGCCCTGCCGGAGCTACAAGTCTTTGATGATCGCCCTCTCGGAGTTCGAGCTCTACGAGGAGAAGATAAAGAGAGGCGAATCGAGAGAAGCTTTGGTTGCGGTGACAAACAACATGATGCCTTTCCAGCAAGCCCGCGTCGAACTACTCTCCGCGTCTAATGCAGCCGCGGCCCGCATCAAGACCGCAATCGCCGACTCGGAGAAGGAGATCGAGCGCGCCAAGGCATGCGCCATGCGCAGACGCCCCAGCGGCGGCTGGCAAGCGGCGCGGTCGGCCGAAGAAGAAGGCCAAACCATCTGCCGCACTGGTCGACAATTGGAACCAAGTTTGCGAATCCACGAGCACCTTCCCTGCGGAGATGGGCGCTGTGACTGGTGACTGCTCGGACTGGAACGCCCCCGTGATCTTCGGGGTCGGCCTCCAGGAGTTCGCGAAGTTCGAGTTGGCCCCTGCTCGCGCAGACCCAGGCCGCTGCCGGAAGAAGCTCAAGCAGGAGGGGTCGACATGTTCAACGCGGCGGCGGGCCCCATCTTTCCAGAGGCTCGATCTACCGGCAGAGAAACAGACGGATCAGATCGGGAGCCTCGAGACGGGGGTCAACGCAAACGGGGGTCAGCCAGGGCGCCAGATCCTGCAGGATCCTGCGAGGCCCCCCTCTGGCTGACCCGGGTTAGGGAGCCGCTCGTGGCCGCGAGGCGGCCGCACATATTGGCTGACCCGGGTTTGCGAAGACCTGCGTTGCAGTTTTTTTTCCTGCACTGCAGTTTTTGGTTTCCTGCTGACCCGGGTCTGGATTGACCCGGGTCAGAAGATCCCCGATCAGATCAAGGCGTCCATGGCGACCACCCTGTTCGCTATTTGCATGGGCCGGGCGACGTGCTCGGCGGGGTCGGGGCGCCCCCCCCCCCCCCCCCCACACACACACACCCCACCCACGCGCCGCCATGGCATCATGGTCGGGGGCCCCGCATGCACGCATCCAACGATTCTTCCCGCGCCCCCCGCCTGCCCGCCCAACGACGATGATGAAGAGGACATTGATGATGATAATGCCTCGTAGAGCTCTTCGGTAAGATGAGCTAAGAGGAATTCGGGCGCAGGGTGGGGCTAGTTGGCAGACCCGACCAAAAGAGACAATGTGTCAACTTGAGGGCGGTTTTTCTGAGATTCCGAGAAATTTTAAAATTCGCGTCGAGAAGCAGTATTTTTCTCACGTGTAGTGGGTTATGCCGCGCCTGCCAGTTCAATTCTCAGGTCCGTAGCTTCAGTATTACCATCAAACCACTTGCAGGAACCGGCTTTGGGAAGAAACCGAAAACCGTTGTGTTTCGAGATTTTTCTTCGCGCTTGAGAAAGCTTTTTCCGTGCGTTTAGAGCAGCGCCGCGCGAGAAAAGGGCTCTACGAGGCCCCCGGCGGTTTCCTGGTTGACGGTTTACCGCCGGATCCCAGTGGAGAGGAAGATAAACATTATGATGACGATGTTGGCGATGATGAGTTGATTAGTTGCCTCTTGGTAATTTATATAATGAGGAGAGTGCTGGAAGCATTAGGGGTTGAGCGGTGGGGCGGGGGGCCGCGGCGATTGCAGCGGCGAGAGCGTCGACGCAAGATGCCCGGGATGGAGAAACCAATGGAGCAAACTCAACAACATGCACCACAGCAAAGTGCAACGCTGCAAAATACAACGCAGCAGAATTCAACAAGACAAAATACAACGCAGCACAGCGCAATTCATCACAATCCAACGCGGCAGAATTCAACGCATGATTGTCTCCAGGAACGAAGCAGATTCGTTGTGCATGCGGAGCGAGAAGGAATCGCATTCGCCACATGTTACCTGCCCTCGCGGGCCACACTGGAAAGGGGGAATGGTTCGGCGCATTGCGCCCCGCGAGCAGCCACCAGCCCTCAGGGATCATAGGGCCCATGGGGCTCATGCAGTGGGGCCGTCGGTTACGGAATGTGCCCATGAGCCTTCAGACCCTGGAGGGTTGGTTATCTGATGAGGGCGGCGGTGATGCCCACGGCCAAGCCTCGAACGGAGTTCCGCGGGCTTCGACCCTGGATTCCTCTTCTAACAGTTTCTTACCCAATGCCCCCACCGCATGCCTCATGGGGCCCAGGGCTCACAGGGCTCATGCGGCTCATCGTGGCATGGCGCAGCTAGGAGCCGAGCGACCCAGGCCTCTGCCGGGCGCTGCGCCAACGACCCAGCTCAAGGTTCCAGAATCGCAGTGTCCCAGTGGGGCCCGAGCAGCTGCGCCCCTCCCTGGCCACGCGGGCCCCATGGTGGGGGGAGAACGAGGAGGGTGGAGGGTGGAGATGTCGGGGCAGCGGATATGCGCAGTTCTGGGGCCCGTTCAAACCATCGAGGGCGCGCGAGAGATCGCCTGCGCGCCAACTTTAGCCATCGTGTCGATTCGAAGCCAGCCTCGATCCAGTGGGCGCCCCGTTGGCCGAAGTCGACGACGGTCGTGGCCGCCAAGGCTTACAAGGCGCAGAGCAGAACCAACGAGCTCTTCGGCGCCGCCGCTGGTCCGGGTGACATCATGCACTTGCCGACAGGATGGACCCACTGCGAGAGGGTCTTCGGGGCCGACTTCATCGGCGCCCGGCGCTCGCTGCTGGGGCCAGGCGACGCCTTCCCTGAACGAGCTTATGGTGGCCCAGTCTGCATCCAGCGTAGTCTTTGCGGCCCTCGAGCGCCTGGCGATGCTCGACTGAGGTCGCCGAGGTCTTTCAGAGCAGGTCGCCCCCCCCCCGCCTTGGTTGTTTTTTTGGCCCCCGCCTCCGTGGGGCTGGGCGCGGGGGGCTTGTCTTCGGTGAGTTGCATTCAATGTTTTTCAATTGTGTTAATTTGTCCGCCAGCGCCAATGCAGATATGCATTCAAGTGCACGCGCGCCCGCCCGCTCCAGATGCCTCGCGATCTGTTGTTTTGTTTCGGTTGCGGGGCCTCGTATGTTATATGGCGGCTTCGCCTTTGCACGTCTGGGCATCGGGCTTGAGTTTAAATGCGCGCCTTGTCGCGGCCCGCCCCCCGCGCTTCGGCGGGCGATCGGCGGTCCTCGCGCGCGTGTCGTGCCGTTCTGCATAGCCTCTGCACATTTATATCGCCGGGCACTCGAGGGCAAGGTCAATTGGCCCCACCCGTTACTAGCCTCAGAAAGATCCCCTGCTGTCGGTCAAAGCTACGATCTAGGCGCGATCCCATTTAAGAACCGCTCCCTGAGCCGAGGCTTGCCGTGGACATGGAAGCGTTTGAGCAAGGCCTCGCGGCCCCTTCCGCCGTGCCTTCGCGGGGTCATAAGGGGGGGCCCAGGAGGGCCCCTTGGAAAGTTGGCGAGCTCTCTTGGGAGCTCGCCTTGCGTGCCAGCCTTGGGTATCTAGTGTGTCTAGGGTATCTCGGGTGTCTTGGGTATTTTGGGCGCCTCGGTAGCGGGGGCGGGCCCCCCTTGGGTTTGGGTCGATTGGGCGCCTTGGGTAGACTAGTTGCCTTGGGCGCCTTGGGTAGACTAGTTGCCTTAGTTGCCTTGGGCGTCTGGGCATCTTGGATGCTTTGTGTCTCTCGGGCGTCTGGGGATTCTTGGAGGTTCGACGCCCATCCTCCGCCGGGCTCCGTTCGAGGGCTGAAGCCCGCCTTCCGCCAGGCCCCATTCGATGGCTGACGCCGGCCCCCCGCCCCAGCCCGCGCGACGCGGGATCTTCCCGCGGGGGCGCGCAGGGGGGGCTGCCGCGATTCCGCGGCGTCCTCCTGGTCGCCGGGAAGACTGCCCGGCGACGAGGAGGACGGCGCAGAATCGCGGCAAAGCAGTCAGCGGCAATTCCCCCTCCTCCTGCCCCCCCCTTCCCCCCTCCTACTCTCGCCGCGCGGGTGCGCCCGGAGCCCGGCCTTGCCGCGGGGTCGGGCGACAGGTCGCTCTTCCGCCTTTTCTGTCGGGGCAGGAGAGCAGGGCTCATTTCGACTCCGCCGATTCGACTCGATTCTATTTCGATGGATTCCGATTCCGATTCGATTCGTCTTCGGAATCCGATTTAGGATCCGGTTTCTCAATGGAGGCCTACTAGCCCGCCGATGTCTGCCGATGCGACTTTTCCCGACTCGGTTGCCAATTTCCGCCGATCCGACCCCTTTCGTTCGCCGATCCGACTCGTCGATTCGATTCTGGGCCCCCCGGGGAGAGGAGGGGGGGGGCGGGGGCGAAGAGGGTGGAGGGAGGAAAGCGGGAGGAGCATCGGCATCGGTGTCGGTTGGACAAGTTCATCGCCAGTTTTCCCGCGCGCAAGACATAATGTCGCCGGATCGACGCCGCCTTGGCGCCAAAGCGGGAAGCGCACACAAAAAGGGAGGAAGAAGGGAGGGAGAAGGGAGGAAGAAGGGAGGAACGGCGTTCTGGAGGTCGCGAGGCGCGGGTTGTCTTGATGCATGCATTGCAACCCCTGTTGGGGCCATTTCGCTGGCTTCCAAGGGGTCTCCGTGCGGTTTTTCCAGCTTGTTCGCATGGCCACATTCATTCAGAGCTCGAATTGCATCGGAGTTGGACCCAAACTATGTCTTGCCATACATGCGATTTGAACGTACGTTTACATATGTCATGTAAAATTTCAACGTGTCACATCGAAGCACAGCTGCCCAGACGATTCGGCCCACTCGAGGGCAGCGCGCGCTTCGAGGAAACAACTCTCGGACAAGAAGCTCAAGCTGGACTCCTGCAAGGTCGAGCCCGAGAAGAGGCGGGGCCGCCTCTGCAAGCCCGCAAAGACGAGGAGGCGCGATGCCCTGCACTCGGTGCCGAGCAACGCCTCGCCTCCAGCATCGGCTCCGAGTCCTGACTCAGCCTTGAGACGCCTCGCGAGCCGCTGGGGGCTCGGGGCGAGGCGCCCTCGGGCAGAGTGAGGGCGAGGCGCTGGGAGCTCTCATCGAGGTGACCACCGGCCTCGAGGACGCCAGAAACAAATGCAGAATCACAAGACAGGGGCAGAGCAACGGAACCGACGACAGCAAGAACGATCTCACGCGCAAGCAGCACAACACGCGGAAGCCAGCAACAACACAAGCCACATCAAAAGCAACGAACAAGAAGGATCTCCCAATGGGAAGCTAACACAACGCCGACACCAAGAAGGCAACGAGAAACAACGAACAAGGACAAGCCAACAACAGCCAGAAGCTTACAACTTCCCGCGGCCACGTTGGCTCGAGGATTTGCGAATCGAGCCGCTGCAGTTCTGCAGCGAGATGACCGCGCCGACGAAGCAGACGAGCTTGTCGAGCCTCTGGGGCGTCGCGAGCTCGCCTTCCGCTGCCCCGAGCTCTCGCGAGAAGCTGAGAACCCCCGCCTACGAGAGCGCCGAGTCTGCTGCGAACTGCTTCAAGTAACTCGAGGCCAAGAGGCTCGAGGCCCCCCCTTGCCCCCCCCCCCCCGCCCCCCTCTTTTTCTTTTTTCGCCCCCCCCCCCCCCCCCCCGCCCCCCCCCCGGGCCCCGAAATCATTGGCCCCTGGGTGTTTGTTCCATCCCCCGCTGGGCCCCGCCGTGGGCGCCCCGCGTGCGAGATTGAAGCCGATTGGGATATTCAGCCCTCACGAGCATTATTCCCCGCTTTCGGCCTGGGGGGAGCGGGCGGAATTATTCTGCCATGCAAAGCAATTCTGTCATGCAAAGCAATGGCGGAATTCTGTTTGAGGATGTCTCGAGCGAGACGGTTTTTTGCATGAAAAAGAATGCGTTGAGGATGT